GTGGAGGGGTGGGTGACTCTAAGGTTTAGGGCTGGCACTGGAGGGCTCTGTGATCCAGGGCTTTTGGCGGACCAGCAACATTTAATTTACATGTCTGCATATTCACTATCTGCATAATGAATATGCAAACATGCAAATAAAATGTTACCAGTCCACCAAAAGTTTGTGAATAGGTTTGCCGGTCCATGGTATAAAAATCCTAAGCATGAAAATGGACGGAAATGACAAGATACAGTAATCTGCAGAAGTGTCGTGATGATTGCCTTATGGCTCAGAATTGAATATTACTGGCATCAGGAAGGTGAATTTTAGCATCTTAATATATAAACTGTAAAAGGAACAGAATATTTATGCAGATTAGGGATGTAAAATCCCAGTTAGGGATGTAAAACATTAACCGATAAGGCTCATCCTTAGGAGTTAAGGCTTACTGGTTCTGGTTAACCAGTAGAGGCTGGAGCAGGTCCCCACCTAGCCGGCCCCGGGAAAGGGGCTGCTCCAGCCCAGTGAGGCCCACGGGAGCAGCCCCTGTCTGTGGTGGGCCTGACCATGCCACCCACCACAGGTTATACACTGTCTCCCCAGGACTAGGGCCAGCAGGGCTGTCTCCCAGGGAGCTGGCTTCAGAGCCTGTAGCGAAGCCTCCCCAGGAGACACCCCTGCTCCCAGCAAGGTGGCTTCACTGTGGGTTTTGCAGCATAAAACTTACTCAAGATTTATATTTCAGAGCCCCCAGCGCATGTGACCACTGTGATTTTTAGAGGTTACACAATTACATTTTTACATCCCTACTTCATACATCACTGATCAGATGCTTTACATAAAGACATTAAATATCAGCGAAGGATACAGTCTGAAAAAGTTCATTAGCGCTATCTTTGAATCAGAGTTAAGGTGAAAATAGTAATTACTATGGATCTATTGCAACCTAAGTAAAGCACACCCAACCAGATGTTTTTCTAGCTTTGGCTTCTGGCCACGTACAAAAAAAAACCCCAAAATATTTATACCAAAGTAACTGAAAATAACTTGCACACATATAAAGACTATACTTTCAACACTATAGGGCACAGCTGACTAACTTATTTTTCACTTTCAGGAAACACCTTTCAATACCACCCTTCCTATTCCTCGTTATGCATGAAAATATCATGAGGAGTGACTGGTACACTCTACCAAATACTTTCAGCTGATTTTTTTTTCCTGCAATGAATTGTCACACTCTCATTCGCCAAGTGGTAATCAACAATCTTTATGAACTCTGATTACAGCAGCTAACTTACAGGGAGCATTTAATGATATTCAGAATAGGCTCCAAAAATACACTCTGGACCACAAAGAAACATGGATTTAGAAGACAGTCACACTGGAAAGCAAAGGAGAAACACTCCTGTGTATAGCACAACGAGGCATGTGAAATGATCATTTATCCTACCGTTAACTGTGGCTCTTCAAAATATGCTGTCCATGTATATTCCATTGTGGCTGTTTCTGCACTGCACTCACTTGGCCAGCAGTTTTCATTGGGACTGCACCTGTGCCCTGAGTGTCCGCAAGCCTCCCACTCGGAGTGCATAAAGAGTGAGACAATGCCAACTATACCTCTGTTCCTTCACCAGAGAATCCATGGGTTACAAGACACTGCAGTAGCGAGGAAGAAGATGGATCATGGAATATTTGTAGACAATGCACCTCAAAATAGCCACAGCTACTGTAAGGTCATAACAGTTCTTTGCCTTTGACACAGTACCTCACCAAAGATTCTTAAGCAAAGCAAGCAGTGATGGGATAAAACGGGGAAGGCCTTCTTTTGAACTGGTAACTGGTTAAGACATAAGAAACAAAGGGCAGCACCCATGCTGGTCAACATATATTTAAATTATTTGGAAAAAAGAGGTTCACAATTAAATGGCAAAGTTTGCCAATGATAAAAATTATTCAAGACAGTTAAATTCAAAGCTAAATATCAAGAGTTATAAAGAAATCTCAAAAAACAATGACTCAACTAGCGATGTGAATGATTAGTCGACAGGCTACTCAACTAGTTATCCCCCCCACACACATACACTGCCTCTATCAGAAAGTGGTAGCAAGGGGGGGAAAGAGGGTTAGAGCTGACATGGGGTTCTCCATGGCATTTCAAAGCGGCAGCCCAGGGTCAGCACCTATTCGATTGGTTAATTACTCAATATTTAACATCTCCAGACTCAACAACCAAAGTTACAGATGAAATTCAATGTTGACAAATGCACACTGGAAAACAATCTCAACTATATATACAAAGTGATGGAGTCTAAATTACAAGTTACCATTCCTGAAAGAGATCTTGGAGGCATCAC